TGCCGCGGGGCCTGTGCCCGCACGTAGAGCGACACGAGCTTCTTCTGCACCACGTCCGGCACCGCGCCCGCCTTCACCATCTCCGGGAACACCCCCGACACGTCGGCGCCCTGCGCCATCAGCCTGCGGGGCACACGCGGGTCGGGCCGGGCCGGGTGTGGGTCCCCAGGGGTGCGGGTGTTTCCCCCCCCCCGGCCCCCGCCGTACCGGATGACCCGCAGGACGGCGGCGCGGTACCGCACCGGGTCCGCCTGCACGTGCGGGTTGGACAGGGCCCGGCGGAGCTCCCGCAGCGCCTCCTCACCGCCCAGGTACGGCATGGCCCCGGCACGGCCCGGCCCCGGGCAGGGCAGCGGCCACCTCCGCTACAGCCCCGGGTCCGATCCCGGTCCTAGTCCCAGGCCCACTCCCAGGTCCCGGCCACAGTCTCAGCCCAGGTAGGTCCCGGTCTCAGTCCCAGTCCTAGTCCCAGTCCCAGTCGCAGTCCTAGTCCCAGGCCCAGGTCCTGGAACCGATCGCGGTCCCAGTGCCAGGTCCGGATCCTGGTCCAGGTCCCGGTCCCGATGCCAGTCTCAGTGCCAGTCCCAGGTCTCGGTCCCAGTCTCAATCTCAGTCCCAGGTCCCGGTCCCAATCCCGATCCCGGTCCCGGTCCCCTGCCCCGCCCACGTGACCCTCCCGCACGTGTCCCCGCCCCTGACGCTCGGCCCGCCCCGCTCCTCCCGCGCATGCGCGGCGCTTCCCGCCAAATTCGCCGTGAGGGCTGTGGGGTCCCGCCCGCCATGAGCGGGACGGTGCTGGCCGGGACCCCCATCGCCGTCGACTTCTGGAGCCTGCGCAGGGCGGCCGGCGCACGCCTCTTCTTCCTGTCCCACATGCACGCGGACCACACGGTGGGGCTGTCCAGCACCTGGAGCCGCCCGCTGTACTGCTCCCCGATCACCGCCCGCCTCCTGCACAGCCGCCTACGGGTAGGTATGGCCCGGCCATCATCACCTGGGCACCCCCATCGCCCCACCGGCCCTGCCCTGCCTTCATCACCTGGGCATCGCTGCCTCCCCACCTGTCTGGCCCCACCCTCCTCACTTGGGCACCTTCATCGCCCACCTGTCCCACCCAGCCTTCGTCACCCAGGTACCCCCACTGCCCCACCTGTCTGGCCCTGCCTTCATCACCTGGGTGCTCCCATTGCCCCACCTGCCCTGCCCTGCCCTGCCCTGCCCAACCCAACCCTCATCCCCTGCCCTGCCCTCTGCACCTGGTCCCTGTAGGTGCCAACATGCTGGATCCGGCCCCTGGAAGTGGGGCAGAGCCACGTGCTGGACGAGGTGACAGTGACGCTGCTCGACTCCAACCACTGCCCCGGCTCCGTTATGTTCCTCTTCGAGGGCACCTTTGGCACCATCCTCTACACAGGTACAGGGCAGGGTCCCACCATCACAGAATCACTGCATGAAAGGGACCACAGTGGGTCATCTGATCACCCCCCAGCACATGGCACAGAACTGTGACCAGGCGGTTCTGAGATACCTGTGCTGAGGGAGGCTCCACGCCCTCCCTGGGCGAATCCCGACAGCTTTGCCTCTCGCAGGAGATTTCCGCTACACGAGCTCCATGCAGGGGGAGCCGCTGCTGAAGGGCCGCCGCATCGACCGGCTGTACCTGGACAACACACACTGCCACCCGCAGCGGGAGCTGCCCTCGCGCCAGCTGGCCACGCGCCAGGCCGCCCGCCTCATCCGCGCCCACCCGCACCACCACGTCGTCATTGGTGAGTGCCGCCTCCCCCATCCCGCCAGCTTTAAAGGTTTCGGTAACTCAGATTAGCTGGAGACACCTGCTAACAACCTCTGGAGGGGGTGGTTTGGTGGAGCCCCCCCCCGCCCCGGCAGGGCTCCTGTTCCTCTCCACCCTGTCCCACACCTGGCTCCCCCGGCAGGTGTGTACACCCTGGGCAAGGAGGCGCTGCTGGTGGACCTGGCCGTGGAGTTCAGCACCTGGGTGGTGGTGAGTCCCTGGCGCCTGGAGCAGATGCGGCTGCTGGAGCTGCCGGATGTGTTCACTGCCGAGGAGGGCGCCGGGTGGATCCGCGCCGTGGACGTCGCCGAGATCCGCTGCGATACCCTGGTCACCTGGAACGCGCTGCACCCCACCATTGCCATCCTCCCCACGGGCAGGCCCGTGAAGGTCACCCACCCCAAAATCCACCTCGTGCCGTACTCGGATCACTCGTCCTTTTCAGAGCTGCGCGAGTTTGTGAAGTGGCTGAAACCTTGCTCGGTCATTCCCATTGTGAAGGGCAACATGTGCCAGGTTTACTTTCAGGAATACCTGAGCTCTGCCCCTCAAGTACTTCCTGACTTCAAAGTCCCAAAGCCTTTGCCAGAGTCGGTGCAGCAGCAAAGCCAAAGGAGGAGGCAGGACCCCACATGTCTCTGGAAAAGAGCTGCACGGCATTCTGCGCCCCAAGGGGTTGTTTTTGAGTCCCCAGAGAAACACACTGAGAAACCCGAAGCATTTACAGGTGCTGAGGATCCTCAGCAGCACCACTGTGAGCCAGCTTTCTGCTCGAAAGAAGTTTGCACTTGTCACAGGGATGAGGAAAAAGGGAAGGAAAAGCTGAGTGGGGAAGAGCCAGGAGCAGCCACTGCTGTTAGCCAGGCACCTGTTTCCAAGGAGCACTTTCCATCTGGATTTGCAGAGCAGTATTTACTCACTCCCTTAAATGTTCTAAAGCAGAATTCCTCACGGACGTTTGACAAGCTGGTACAAGACTTTTTTAGGAGGGGAGAAGTGCCCTGAAAAATTGTGACACTGGTGCCAATAGCAGTGATTCATCCTGCTCTCCTTGCTCAGGTTTCCTATCAGGAGCTCAGCTATGGGGCTTTACTTTATTTAACTCTTAACAGAGGACAAAGAGGAAACTACAACCAGGTTTGGTTCGTTTTTAATCTTTCTGCATCTGCTGAGTCTCCAGTGCAGGGGGCAGTGCAGTCCCACTGCCTGTGTGCCTCGTGTCCACCTTTTGCAGTGACTCACCTGTCCCTTGTGACAAAAGACGCTGCCAGGTGGATTCAAGCAGCACTGCATAGGGTGTGAGCTGCCTTCAGCTGAAGGTATTTATGTTTGGAATGTGATGAAAGAAGCAAGGAGGGGGAATCTTGAGACCCCCAAAGATTCTTCTTTCTACATGTCTGTGATGCCTCACTGACTGTGAGTGGTTCATTCCAAGGTGCATTTCAAATGTTCTGTATTAAGGTACACTTTTAAAAATGCTGCTTAAATCTAGAATATGAAGTGCCTTTAAGTTTTAATAATGTTTTCTATCTGTTAATCTACTAATACTTCCAGCTTTGTATCCATCCAGCCAACTGCAGCTGGCTGTAGTTCTGCTCTCCTGAAAGCACCATCCCAATGTTAACTGTCAGTGCTTTTTCAGGTTTCTGGTTGAGAAAAGCAGGAATTGTCTGGGCTCTTGAGTTATAGAATGGGCCACTATATCCTCTGCAGTCTCTGCACTCTGCACATCTGAATTCTGCTTGACTGCAAAGCACTTTTGATAACTGCCAGCATTCTGCCTTCCCATCCATTGCCTGCTCCTGTCACACAGTGGCAAATGGAACGGAAGATAGTGAAACATCTGCTCAGTGGTGTGAAGTGGTCAGTCTTAGCAGTGTTGTTTGGAAAGAAGACTGACTGAACAGCAAAACTGGCTCTTAGAGGTCGGGCACTTTCCCACTCCAGATCAGCTGCAGAGCCACGGCCTGGCCCTTGGGAAGTGTCAGTGGTGTGTGAAGTCATCAGGCACCCACTGCAGAGCCTGGAACACCAGAGTTGTCTGTGGTAAACTGCGCTGCCAACACTACAAACTGGCTCCTTGTATGGTCAGGGCAGCAACACTGGAGTGGAAATGGTCACTGGGCACTTTCCTGGAGCAGCACACCAGCTCGTTCCTCAGCTCTCTCCAGCCTCCTTTTGTTACTTTCCAGGCAAAACGTTTCACGTGATTATGAGGAGGATCAGAGACTTCTGAACGTAGTGTCCTGGGAGGTCCGTCCAAGACCAGGCAGCCAGACGGATTGAATTCCCTGAAGTGAGCCAGAGAAGGAAGCCTTTGCCCTTGGAGCGAAGCCAGGGCTTGTGAAAAGCAAAGGTGGCTGTAGATGCAGCCGTCACACCTGTCACAAACAGGGCTGTCAGGAACAGGGAGGGTGTTGACAGCCCGAGTGGGTACGTTTGGAAAGTTGTTTGGCAAACACGAATCCTGGCTCCCAACCCTGCGTGTTCCCAGGCACGGCAGCCCTTTTTTTCCCCTCTTACATAAGGAGTGCCTGTCCCTGGGCCTCCTGGGGCTCTGCCTTCCCTTCCCGAGGGAAGTGACAGAGCAGTGTCTTATGAAATGCACTTCACACCGGGTAGCAAGGGCAGCTCGAGCTTCCTGCTGCGGCCTGTGTGTCCTGCCTTTCCTGGAGGCTTCTGTATGGATCATTTGCTAATCCAAACTCGGATGCAGAGCTCTGTCAGGTGAGTGTGGAGACACCTGCACCTTTTGTAAGGTGGAAATGACAGTGCTGTGCTTGTCCTGTGCTGTCTGCTGCCGCTGCCTGGGAGATGCAGGCTGTTATTTAAACGCTGTTGAAATGTAAGTGACTCATTTGGCAGGCAGGGGAGGGAAGCACTGCCCAGAACTCCCAGATTCCAGGTCCTGCTCCCTGCAGCCTCTCCACTGCTCAGGAGGAATGCTCACCTTCTGAGTCACTGCTCCATTAGGGCATGTTGCAAATGAGCTGGGGGATCTGATGCATTTCACTGCTGATGTTTTGTGGCATCCAGCCTTTCCTCTTTTATTCTTATCAAGTATTTATTCAAGTAAATGAAGTGGACAACCTTCTGGTCAGCCCTCGGGCAAAAAGGAGTTGTAAATGGTAATTCTTTACAGAGGTAACTCTGATCTTTAATCAGTCAAAATCAAATGAAAACTGCAGAGGCTTCAGAAGCTGGGGATCTGCACCCCATTTCTGCACACTCAGTTAAAGCTGCAGAAGAAATGCTGGTGCCTTACCACTTAAAAACTAAATTATCCAAATCATGCCAAGGAAACCTAAAATCTGTGTGGCTTTAAAAAGGCCTTGTCTTCTCTCACTCTTGCCTCCAAGTTTTCCCTCTTTTCCTGCCCCCCAGCCTGGCTCACAGGGCAGTGTTGGGGGACCTGGAGCATCGTGTACCCCAGAGCCTGAACCTGCTGCTCCCACCTCAGCTGCAGCTCTGCTGCCACAGGTGTGTTCTGCTCACAGCAGTGACAGTGAGAAGCTGTCACTGAAGAAGCTGAAGTAGCAGAAGTATTTGCTTCACTGTGGGGTATCAGAGAGCCACATGCTGGGAAACTTGCAGTTGTATCCTGACGGGAAAAGAAAGCGCTCAGAGCAAAGTCCTCCCAAATCTACCCAACACAGAGCATGATTGAGCTGCTTATCTCTGTCCCACAGTTGGGAACCAGGCCCCACTGGGGTGAAACAGCTCAGCCAAGGCCTTGCAGGGGAGTAAGGAACGAGCTGAGTTCCCTTTGGCAAGTTTTCAGTGCTGTTTTACCGAGCTATGATCATCTGCTGGCATGTTTTGAGGGCAGGGCTGTCTGCTGAGCTCCCTCCAGAGCTGCCTGTGGAGGGACAATCACTGGCACCATGAAGCAGTGCTCTGACTTCTCTAAAACATTAGGAAAGCTTGAAGGGCTGGAGAGGGAGAATTTACTCTTTAGGCTGTTTTCAAGGGGCTGAGGTAAAACTTGCCTGGCTCGTGCGCTCTGTGGCAAACAAGTGTAACGTCACCTTGCAGGGAACACCTCAGAGCATTTCTCTGTCTGGTTTCTAACCCTGCTTCCCCTAATACAAGGCTAAAGCACTTCCAACAGCTTCCCTCTCCCCTGCTGCAGAGCTGCTGTCTGTTCCTGCAGCACAGGGGCTTGTTTTCTAGATTAAAAAAAAAAAAAAAAAAAAAGAAGTGCAATGGTGAAATCTTCCCTTCACCAGAAAATTAATGAGTTTACATAATTTCCTCTATGGTGTATTGAGCTCTAAATGGAGCTCAAGCTAAAATCTCTGTGTTTTTTAATGGAGCCCTCTGAAAGGTAGAAGAACATGTTGAAAAGGTAGAATCACCTTGATAATTGTATGAGATGCTGCTTCAAAGTTGTTATGCTGCTGTTGATGTAAACAGGAAACTGTGAGAATTTCTGAAATTTTCATAGAATCCCAGAGTGCTTTGGGTTGAAAGGGACCTTAAAGCTCACCTCATTCCACTCCCTGCCATGGGCAGGGACACCTTCCACCAGCCCAGGTTGCTCCAAGCCCTGTCCAACCTGGCCTTGAACACTCCCCGGGATGGGGTAGCCACAGCTTCTCTGCTGTGCCAGGGCCTCCCCACCCTCCCAGGGAAGGATTTCTTCCCAATGTCCCATCTAAACCTATTTTCTTTCAGTCTGAATTTTGGTAAGAGTATTTGTAATTTAAAAAAAAATGTTGTAAACTTTTGCAAGAAAGCAAATAAACGTCTCTGTAACGCTGACTTTGGAAAAAGCTGCATTAAAACACTCTGGAGATTGAGTTCCTGAGGGGGCGACGGTGACCTGACTGGACTAAATCCCTCTGGAAGCATTTGACCTCCAAGAAGCCGGACTGGCCTTTCCCACACTTGTGGTTTCTTCTCATTTAAAGGGGCATCAAGGGGTGAGAAACCACCAGGGGAGATTTAGGTGGGACATTAGGAAGAAATACTTCCCAGAGAGCGCCATCAGACATTGGAATGGGCTGCCCAGGGAGGTGGTGGAGTCACCGTCCCTGGAGGGGTTTGAGATGAGACTGTGGCACCAGTGCCATGGTCTGGGTGACAAGGTGGTACCGGGGCGAAGGTTGGACTTGATGATCTCGGAGGTCTTTTCCAACCTCGCCGATTCTGTGATTCTGTTCGGGCGGAACTTCCTGGGCCTCAGTTTGCGCCCGTCGCCTCTTGTCCCATTGCTGGGCACCCCCGAGCGGGGCCCGACCCGGCCTCTGACACCCAGAACGCGGCCCGGCGGAGCTGCCCGTCCCCTGGCGGTACGCCCTGCCCGCTCCGCTCCGCGTTCCCTGCTCCTTTTCCCGGTTCCCTGCCCCGTTCCCCATTCCCGGTCCCCTCCCCGCGCCGGCCCCGCCGCTTCCTGCGGGGGCCCCGCCCCGCGGTCACGTGCGCGCTCGCCCGCTCGGGGCTCGGCTGGCTGGGCCTGTGCGGGGCGCGGGGCCGGAGCGGCGGGAGCGCGGCGGGGCCGGGGGGGGCGGCGGGGCCGGGAGCGGGCGGGGGGAGCCCGGCCGGGCCGTGAGGGCGCGGCGGAGCCTGGCGGCGGCGGCGGCGGAGCGGCCTGGGGGCTCCCCCCGGCGAGCGCGGGCCGAGCGGGCCGGGCCGGCGGCCGTGGCGGGGCTATGATGAGCCCGCTGCGGGGCTCCGCACCCCCGCGTGTCCCCCTGGCAGGTCCGGCCCGCGGCTGAGAACCCCCCACCGGCGGTGAGTGCGGGCGGCGGGGCACGGAGCGGCGGGCAGGCCCGGGCCCGCCCTTCGCCCTGCGCGGGGCCGGGGAGGGCCCGGGGCGGCGGCGGGGCCGGGGCCGGGCCCGGTAACGGCCCGGGGCGGGGGTGGGGGGGGGTGTTTGGTGGGTTTCCCACCGAGTGTTGTTTTTGCGGTGCCTGGGAAACAGGCCCGGGGACGGGATCTTGCTTTCAGCAGGGTCTTCCCACTTCCTGCGCTCGCCCGCCCCTCGGTATTGTTTTTCTCGGTACTGGGGGGGGTTTGGCCTGGGGAAAGGGAGGGTCAGGGGGGATCTTATCGCTCTCCGCAACTCCCTGGAAGGAGGGTGTAGCCAGGTCGGGGCCGGGCGCTGCTCCCGGGTAACGAACGATAGGACGAGGGGACACTGTCTTAAGCTGCACGGGGGAAGGTTTAGTTTGGAGATTAGGAAGAAATTCTTCACAGGAACGGGTGATTAGACATCGGGACGGGCTGTCCAGGGGGGGGTGGTGGAGTCACCGTCCCCGGAGGTGTTTTAGGAAAGACTGGACGTGGCACTCAGTGCCTGGGCTGGGTGACAAGGTGGGGATCGGCCGCAGCTTGGACTCGATGATCTCAGAGGTCTTTTCCAACCTAATTGATTGTGTGACTCCTGTTGAGTCCTGGGATTCCTTTAGCCTTCAGAGAGCTATGTAAAGAACCCATTGCTTATAAAATGCAGTAATTCCAACAGAGTGCCTTGCTCTCTGATGCCGTTAAGAGCAGCAGTTCCCGAGGTTGCCTCCCTCGGTGGCGGGCACCATATGGTGCTCAGAAAACGCTTGTCCTTCCTCTTCTCGTGCAGATGGAGGAACTTGCCCATCACAACCTGCTTCCCCTAATGAGTTCTCCTCTCCCTTTCCAGGTATGGCCTCACAGCTGCAGGTGTTCTCCCCTCCGTCAGTATCCTCGAGTGCCTTCTGCAGTGCCAAGAAACTGAAAGTGGAGCCGTCTGTCTGGGATGTTTCAGGACAGAGCAGTAGTGACAAGTATTATACCCACAGCAAAAACCTCCCAGCAGCTCAAGGGCAAGCCAGCTCCTCTCATCAGGTAGCCAATTTCAGCATCCCTGCCTACGACCAGAACCTCCTTCTCCCAGCTCCCTCCGTCGAGCACATCGTGGTCACCGCGGCCGACAGCACCGGCAGCAGCGCCACCGCGTCCTTCCAGAGCAGCCAGACCCTCTCGCACAGGAGCAACGTTTCTTTGCTGGAACCATACCAAAAATGTGGATTAAAAAGGAAAAGTGAGGAGGTCGACAGCAACGGTAGCGTGCAGATCATTGAGGAACATCCACCTCTCATGCTGCAAAACAGACCTGCGGTGGGTGCTGCGGCCACGACCACCACGGTCACCACGAAAAGCAGCAGCTCCAGCGGGGAGGGGGATTATCAGCTGGTCCAGCATGAGATCCTGTGCTCTATGACAAACAGCTATGAGGTCCTGGAGTTCCTGGGGCGGGGGACGTTCGGGCAGGTGGCGAAATGCTGGAAACGCAGCACGAAGGAGATCGTAGCCATCAAAATCCTGAAGAACCACCCGTCCTACGCCCGGCAGGGCCAGATCGAGGTGAGCATCCTGTCCCGCCTGAGCAGTGAGAATGCTGACGAGTACAACTTTGTCCGCTCCTACGAGTGCTTTCAACACAAGAATCATACTTGCCTTGTATTTGAGATGCTGGAACAGAACTTGTACGATTTCCTAAAGCAAAACAAGTTCAGCCCCTTGCCCCTGAAGTACATCCGGCCCATTCTGCAGCAAGTGGCCACTGCCTTGATGAAGCTGAAGAGCCTGGGTCTGATCCACGCTGATCTGAAGCCAGAGAACATCATGTTGGTGGATCCTGCCCGCCAGCCCTACAGAGTGAAGGTGATAGACTTTGGGTCAGCCAGCCACGTGTCCAAGGCCGTGTGCTCCACGTACTTGCAGTCGCGTTATTACAGGTAAGCACTGACACAAGGGTCACTTAACCAAGCCAGGCTTTATCCTGCTGGAGTGCTGGGGGGTTCCTTAGCGCAGTCAAGCTGATCCTGCTGGGATGTTGGAGTAGTTCCTCCTACAGACACTGGCTCTTCTGCCACTGGGGTTAATCCTTGTCCCAGGGGGAGGAGGAAGTGATCAGCCTGTCCACTGCTCTGCATGTTTCCTGGAGATTTGTATGGCAATAAATAGAACTTGTGCTTGTGTCACAAGCGTGACCTAATCTGCAGCCCAACACCTTCCTTTCACCCCAGATCAGTGCAGTAAGTTGATTTTACCCCATCAGTAGTTTGTGACACTGTGTGAAGCAGGAAACTGGGGAAACAGTTTAAATAGTGCATTTTGGGTTGTTTGCCATGGTCTGAAACTACTCCATTAACCTTGGTCATTTAGAAGGGAGAGAAGTCAAAGAGGTGCCAGTTTCTTTTTGCTCTGTTTCTTCTGATTCCACCTTTGTCTGGACCCCCTTCACAAGCACATGACTTCCTGTGTCAACCCTGGCTAAGTCATGCTTTCATGAGACCTGTGGCTCCTTTAAAGCAGCGATGAGATAGATCTCTGCTTCCCTTAGCAAAATGTAGGGATGGCTTCTACCCTACCCCTGCCTGAGAATTAAAAATAAACTATGGGCAAAGGCATTAAAACTCATAAACTTTGCATAAAGCAAGCTGTGCTGTTTCTTTCAGTTATTCCTCCAGCTTGGTCGTGTAAAGTATTTCAGTTTTAAGTAGCAGCAGACTTCAATAAATGGATGCAGAAAGAACTTCTGGCATCAAAGGGCCTTGAAAAAGTCTGGGCTGTGTTGTCAGGGTTGCTTTGGGTGGAATGTGAGCTCACTTGACGCAAAACTTAACCAGTATCTAGTCCTTCCAGCTGGGACGAGACAGAGGACTGAGACACTCCACCCCACCCTGTGTCTCTGCCCTGTTTGATGTCTTTCCTGGCTCCTCACTTCAGTTTAAAGCCTGGCTTATTGTAGGTTTGTTCTGTTCATCCCTCATGCTCCCTGTATTCTTGTCCCCTTTGTTTGGGTGGTTTTTTTAACTCCCTCTAACACCCGGTACCAACTTTCTGTGCCATTTTTCATTTGCTGTAGACTTTTATTTTCTTAATGCATCATCGATTTTGTTGTTGTTGCATTGAAAGAGGGGACCACTGATAAGAATCTCCTCTATCTGACGTGCCACACGTGTCGGCAAAGCAGTTTGGGGAGGCACGTGGTGCTCTCCAGTTTTTGGTATCACAGAGAGCAGATTTGGCTCAGGAAAAGCAGGGAGGGCTGATAAGTATCTCGAAGGGGCTGCAGGGAGGGACGTGTTTGCTTCATCTGTGTGTGGGGGCACTGACCTCACAACCCCTTCCTGCTCCCTGGGGTGACTGACAGTGCCAGAAAGGCAAATAACCTGGGATTAGGTGGCGTTGGACTGTCTGCTTGGCTGAAGTGAAGAATGCTGTGATGGGGGAGTCTGGTATTTAGTGATGTGTAATTAGTGTAATGGTGATGATTGCTAAAATCCATAATCTAGGAATTTATGGAGATGGCACACAGAAACCAGCTTATTGCGGGGGGACTGGATTGCTTTAACCATATACATGTTAAATTAGTGTTCAGATGAGCTCCAAGTCGGAAATTTTTTCAGTGCTGTGTTTAATAAAACAGTGTGACCAGTTCTTCACATGGGTCTCTGTCAGCTGTTAAAAATAAACTTCTCTGTGCACACTTTTGGTTTTTAATACCTGTTACTGGCACTTAGGTAGCCTCTGTCTCCTGCAGAAACATCTAAACCAGCCACACTCGGGTGCTGTGAGATGGACGTTCTGATCTATGTGCCCTGAAGGAAAAAACATATTAATTATGCTCCATGCTGCTGGAGGTCACCCTGTCCAACAGCCCTGCTCACCCCAGGGTCTGGCTGTCCTTCTGGCAGTTGGACACTCTTTAAAGAGCGAGTAGAAGTGCCCATGAAGAATTCTTTGGTTCTGAAGCCAGGAGTAGGTCAGGTCTGTGCAGTGAGGAGTTTCTATGGCAGTTCTGAGATCTGTTTGGAGCAATTCCTCACTGAAAACCAGAGTATGTGCTTGTGGTATCAGGTGAGGAAGGGTATGGATGCTTTTATTCCCCCTGGGGAGGATGAACAATGGAAGGAAACAGGCAGCTGGCAGAAAGGAAAAGTCCCTGGAATACTGATCTCAGTGAGGTTTGCTCGAGTCCTGTGTAACCGCAGCCATCCTGTGAGTTCTACTCAGCTCCTGGTGCTGCCTGTGGGTCAGAGAGCACAAACTGGAGGTCCTGAGCCAAAGGACTGCACAATTTGGTCCGTGAGGAGGTGGCACAGAGCGCAGGGGGAGCTTGCAGAATGCAGGAGTATCCGTTTCTTACCTCTGCACTGGGCTCCGTGACCTACTTCTGTCCCAGCCATCCTGGCCTGGGAAGCAGCAGTGCCTGCTGCCAAATCTAACTCTGCCTGCTAATCCAGCTCCGAGGGGTGACCCTGCTGTTCCCTGCGCTGCTGCCTGCAGTTGTAGGAGCTCCGTGTTCCTGTCATCCCTCCTGAGGGGAGGGACGAAGGCACAGGTGTAAACATGGGGTGTTTGGGAATGCTCAGGGTGAGTCTCGGGGTTTTCTGGGGCTGCTGTGAATCCTCTCTCTTCTGAGAGTGCCTGAGCATATTTGCCAGCTTTGGAGGGCAGTGCTTGGCAAGCCTGTGTGCAAAGAGTGTTGTTGATTTTATTTCAAAGAGCTTAAGATGGTAAAATCGCTTTAATCTCTGTCAGAGCAGCTATGGAAGTGACCTCAGCCTGCTGGCCTGGTCCAGCTCACATCTCCTAATGCTGCTAATTGTAGTGGTGTAAAGGGACATGAAAGGGATTCTGATCCCCCAGCTCTGTCCTGCAATCAGAATGAAATCAGGTGGCTCATGAGAAGTTCACTTTTTTAGTTGCAGGGAGTAAAATCCACATAATTCAACTTGCTATCATCATGATAATGAGATTTAGGAATACCTGAATCTACTCCAACCTGGAGTTAAAGACTAACAAACTGTAACATCCAGCCTTTGGTGCCACAGATCTGTACTTCCATTGAAACTGGTGAGGGTTTTTTTTTAACCCACTTGTGAAGGATTAGTGTGCTCTGCATATTCCAGATGCCACATATATTTTAGTTAGTTTTAGCAGGACATTCAAATATCAGATCCTGACCATATTTGCATAATCATTTTATATTTTCACATATAGAAGTCAACAACTGCAAGAAGTTGTTTGTTGCAAGAACAAACAAACAAGAAGGTGGAATAGAATGTCTCAGCTTGAATAATCTATTATTCTGATTGCTAAAGGTTTATCATGGCTCTGGTTTGGGGGGGCTCAGACACACTGAAACCTCCTTGCTAGAAGGTGGGTGATAGAGAATAAGTGTGACTTCACTGCATCTAGTTCAGCTATTTATCTTTTTTATAGAATGATAGGATGGTTTGGGTTGGAAGGGACCTTAAAGCCCATCTCATTCCACCCCCTGCCATGGGCAGGGACACCTCCCACTAGCCCAGGCTGTTCCAGCTCCATCCAGCCTGGCCTTTTCTGATAGACTTTGTCCTTTCTCAGGGACACTGTGCCTGGGCAGCTGGGCTGAGTGCTTGTGTTTTAGAGACACCTGTGTGGACACCTCAAACAAAAGGTGTATCTGTGTCACCCCAGCTCAAAGGGTGATTAATTGGGGAGTCACTTCTTGTACAAACCTTTGGGAGGCACATTCAGGCTGAGCGGTCGAGGAGGGTGAGTGTCAGATTTACTGACACCTGTACCTTATGCAAGCCCTGGATTTTAGAATCCTGTGGAAGGATCAGAGGTGGTTTCAGAGCTTTTTTTAACAACTGAAGTATCCCCAGTGTAACACAAGAAATGCCACACAAGCCCTGGGGCACGTTCACGTTCCCTGGGGCACGGACCAGGCAAATAGATAGCCTGGAGTTGAGGGCTTTTCTGCTTCCTGGGTGCTTGTGTTAGTTATGCTTGAAGAACCTCAAGGTTTTCGTATTTCCTGTACTTTCCAGAGTAAATTCCCACACCAGCTCACTTGGGTTGTGCAGCACTTGGGTTTTGTGCTGTATGCAAATGTGTGACCAGAATTTCTCCTGCCGGAACAGCATCAGTTTGTTCCAGAACTGTGTGTAGGTGAAGAGTTGTACTGAAACATCCCTTTGTGTTATGAGTCAGTTCCAGACAGAAATTTCCCTGAAATTCCAACCTGTTACAGAAGCAAACCCTGCCTGGAGTTTGAGTTTTTTTTCATCACCTCCCGGTGAAGGCTGGGCCAGGCAGGTACATTTTGCATTAGGTGTGGTTGAGTGCACAGAAACCTGAAACACAACCTCCAGCTGGGCCCTCTCTGTCCATTTTAAACTTGAAACTCTGAACAAACCTTGCATGAAAACCTGCTGATAGAAACTGCTCTGCAGAGCTCCTTTTTCTGGCTCTGCAGATGCTTTTCTTTTCCACGTGCAAACAGGCAGCTCTTGCAGCTGGTTATCTGGGATCCCCAGACCTCCCTCCCAGAGAAGTCCGAGCACTGTTTGCCAGATTTTTTCTTCCCAATTCTGTTAGGATAGGTTGGATTAAGTGATTTTGAGGGTCTCTCCCAGCCTGGATAATTCTGTGATCCTGTGTGCTGTCTCGGGGACACCTCACACCAGACGTGCTGTCAGGTGTAATTAAACTGATCACTCAAGGAGTAACTTCAGATCACAGTTGCATAAAGACCTCCTAGGAGTTGGGGGGCACTGTGGCAATAAATGAATCCAGCTCAGCGCATTCTGTGATTCTCCAGAGTTATTTATTGGGGAGAAATTATTTTACTATTGTTTTATTTTTCCTCTGACAGAGCTCCTGAAATCATCCTGGGTTTGCCGTTCTGTGAAGCCATTGACATGTGGTCGCTGGGCTGTGTGATTGCTGAGCTGTTTCTGGGCTGGCCTCTGTATCCAGGAGCATCTGAGTATGATCAGGTGGGAGCACGTGGTGGGATGTGGGATCTTCTCATGAAACCACCATGACCCTCTGAACCCCATGTGTCCTCTGTCAACTGTCACCCAGCACACGTTGCTGTGATATTCCCTTTGCCTGTCTCTGTATTTCTGCGTGTTTCCACTTGAGCTGAATGTATCCTGTCCAAAATAGGGTCCAATTTGCAGTTAACCCCTGGTTTCCAAACCCAAAAGCTGTCGAAACACCTTCCTGTCAAAACAGAAGCGAGGTGTGTGTGTGTGTGTCCTGATGTGGAACACCCCCTGTAATTTCACCAGGAGGGCAGTTTTTCCATGTGCAGACAGAGCCAAGCCTATCATTCCTGCCCTGTTAATACCTACAGCAGCCCTCATTTTTTATGCAAAGTGTGAGCCCCAAGCTGCCTTTTGAAATACCCTGAAAGGCATCTTGAACTAATTAGTCCTTTCCGTGGATACTTGGCATTATTACCTGGGCTGGGTCTGTGCCTGTAAAAGGACAAAAAGTCCGTGAGAGGGATTTTTCGAAAGTAGCTTTTCCACTGGGGGGTTTTTCTGGTGGTATCTTGTTGCAGTGCTGGGTATAGCTTTCCCTATGTGATAAAATACATGAAAACTTAGTAAGTTTGAAAACTGACTTGTCATATGCCTTCCCAGCACCATAAATTTCCAAAGGAAACACAGAGGTACCTCAATGAGCAGAATGAGTTAGAAAGTAACAGAGGCAGGGCCCCGTGGTTTCCTTGTACACTGAGTTTTGTGTAATTTTGAGAACCTTATCTGCTGGTGTAGGTGGATGGGGAGGAGCTGCTGTTTCCATTGCTTAATGACAGCATTTTGCAGTCCTTTGTGAGGCAGAGCGAGGTGTGACTTCACCACGGTTTTGGTGTTCTGAATTTCCCTTGAAAACCAGGCATGACTTGCTTGCCTGTTCTCTGAGATCCTGCAGCAGCAGCAAGTGAAAGCTCAGGTGGAACCTGTGAGAGGACCTCTCCAGAAATGAGTTCATGGGTCGGGATGGGGTTTACAGCTATTTTTTTTAATCACCCTTTGGCTGTAAAGCCAGAGTTTTGTCTCATAAAAAGAGCAGAACTTGTGTAGATACAGAAAGGACTCCCCCTGCAGACACTTCGTTCCACACTGGCTTAATTGAAAAGTGAGCCCATAAATTGGTGTGATCACAAGCTCTGACAGTGAATTCAGTGCCCTGCAATGTTCAGCTGTTCTGGGCACGGTGGAATAGCAGGAGTTTTGCAAATAAGAAAGGAGGCATCCTAAAGGTCCTGTAAGTGATGGTTTGAACACAACATAGTTATCTTAAGATTGTGTTTTTTCATGAAGTTGCTGTTTTCTTTCCTTTTGAGAATATCTTTTTATTTGTTATCTCTTTACCTGTGTCTTATCAATACCATCACAAAAATTCAATGCATCTTCCAAAATTCCAAGCCTTTTTTTTTTTAGATATAAAATACATTACATCCAATGTGCTTGAGGATCTAAGAATCTGACTGTACAAGAGGTTTGATTTTTTTTTTCTTTCTTGGTCAGGGAGAGCTCTGCCATGTCATTAATCTGAAATTGTGTGCCTGGAGTATATACAGCCAGGCACAGCAATGTTGCTTGGATAATTATGCCTTTAATTATACATACATAATGATAAATTCTGTGGTATTTGTCTCTCTAAATATGTATTTCTTACATAACTTAATGTCTTAAAAGTCTGCTCACATATACTTTAGCAAAAAATATTTCCATAAAATAAGAACCTGACATTTTTGCAGATAATATGATTGAAGAAGGGTTTGAATACTTGAGATAGTCCCTTTAATTTTGCAGTGTTAGTTATATGGGCATTCTTTCTTTACAGGTAATTTCCTATTTGCTGTGAGCAAACCTGGCTGTTAATGACTCCATCAGCTATGAATTCTTTATATTGAGAGTCCTCATTCTTTTCATTTTCTCTCCTAGATTCGTTACATTTCGCAAACTCAAGGCCTTCCAGCGGAGTATCTTCTCAGTGCAGGAACGAAAACAAGCAGGTTTTTTAACAGAGATCCAAATTTGGGATACCCACTGTGGAGGCTAAAGGTTTGTCTGCCTGTTCAATCCCCAATTCTCTTTTATTCACTGAGGACTCGATATAAATTCCCCCCTGGTTTTAATGTGCTGTGAGAAAGTCCTGAGGGAAGATTGGCTTTGAAATGCCATTCAGATGGAGCTGATTTTTGGGTATTTTAACTTCAGAGACCGTGCAGACCCCCTGGTGGTGCTCTGACAATGGCAGCTGTGCACGATAGTACCAGCAAGGAGTGGGTGTTCAAGTAATTGAGATAATGGTTACTTATTATGGGCTGCTCATTCTTGGGGAAGTGTGTCATCTTGTTGTCATCTCCTGACAATACAACGAGTAAAATATGGAGTATTTTGTGATTGTCTTTGTTAGTGTAACAGAAATCTGTTTATGGATGGGCAGAGGACAGGAAAGAATCAGATGTGGGCTTGATTTGCCTTCAAATCTGAGCAGCAAAAGGAAGGGGGATTTTGCCTTTCTCCTTCCTAGAAGGGGGATTTAAAATATTTATAGCCTCTTGCCTTCCTAAATCAGAAACCTTCAGTTCTTTTGGCTGATGCACAGCCTAAGGAAACCTTGATATGAAGTCATCCTGTTGTTAATTCAGCTTTGCAAGGACTGATCTCTGCAGCTGAGGGGAATGAGAACCCGTGGCTGGGCTTTGACCTGCTGGGATGTGGCTTGTCAGAAACAGGCAAAGGATCCCCTGACTCAGCAATTCCTTCCTGCTTTTTTTTTTCCTTTGTCAATACGTGATATCTCAGTTTGTGTTGATGAATGTCTTCTTTTACAGACCCCAGAAGAACACGAGTTGGAAACGGGAATCAAATCAAAAGAAGCTCGGAAATATATATTCAACTGTTTGGATGATATGGCGCAGGTGTGTGGGGTCTTGTGATACAGAGAACTCCTTAATTCCATGCACTTTTGGGATCTCTAAAACCATCATTAACTCCAGACACTGCTGGGATCTCTAAAAATGAGGCTCCTGTGCAGCTCTTCCACTTGCAGTTGAGATCACTGATGTGGGTTTGCCACAGTGCCAGTTTGCATCAGGAATCACTGGATTAAAGACTGTCAAAATGTCAATTATGAGCCTGTTTGAAATGTATTGTGTTTTCCCATGCCTCAGTGTGCTCACCAGCAGTAGGAGAGCTAAGCCCCTTCGAATGTGTTTATAGGATTAGACCTGTTATTGGATTTTGAAAATATTGCCAGTAACTACAGATCATTCTGGTTTTCATTCTCTCTTCAGAGGCAAAATGAAGGAATATATGAATGTTTTTAATATCATGAGGCCTTAAATCTTAAATATCAGTTTTCTTTCACTTTTGTAACTGTTACCATTATGTGACATCTGTGCAGAGAAGGTAGAATCTTCCCATTCTAATTTGCCAGCCCCTTCCAGCACCCCCAAAATGTGAGGGCAGATTGCCAGGCAGTGGAGAGGGAAGCCTGGTTGGTATCTTTGAATAGACCAACTTCACGTTGAGATGAGAATGCCACATGTAAATTTGGCTTCCTTTCATAGAACAAGTGAGGGAAAGGTTGTTTGTTAGTGCTCCACTGCCCGAAATTCATCTGGCTCAGAGACAGAAATGGTTAATAAATATTTCTGTGCGATGTGGAATTACTGAACTGTTACGTAGCTTTAATCTGATGTTTGTGTAACCTGCTCTCGTTTCATTTCTCAGGTGAATATGTCTACAGACTTAGAAGGCACCGACATGTTGGCAGAGAAGGCTGACCGAAGGGAGTATATTGATTTGTTGAAGAAAATGTTGACAATTGATGCAGATAAGAGAGTTACTCCACTGAAGACTTTGAACCATCCGTTTGTTACAATGACACATCTACTGGACTTCCCCCACAGTAACCAGTAAGCTTCCTTAGATTGCTTGTTCTGTTGCAGGAGGATTTACTGGAAGCACAGAGCAGCACTTTTCTGCTTTCTGTCAGTGCTGTTTCCTGCAGTTTCTGGCTGAACTGAAAACAGCCATGGCATGTGTAAGGAATGGAATGTTCGTAAGCTTCCTTTTCGTGTTTTAGGACATTCTTTGTTGGTTTAAAAAAAAAAAAAAAAAAGAATTTAAACCTAAAGCATGTGCATAAAGTTGGGAATCTGTCATGTCTCTGTTGTGCTGTTGTTACATATCTCATGTTTTCCTTCTGCTCTTCTGTTTCAGTGTGAAATCTTGCTTTCAGAATATGGAGATCTGCAAGAGAAGGGTTAACATGTATGACACAGTGAATCAGATAAAGAGCCCCTTCACAACTCACGTTGCTCCTAATACAAGCACAAACCTGACAATGAGCTTTAACAACCAGCTCAACACAGTACACAACCAGGTACAGCATCTTTTACCTGTTCTACACTAATCAAAGACTTGGAGCAGTCTGATCCGGCGCCTTCAGGCCACAGCCTGTTCTGCAAAATGCTTATTTAAATTCCTCTGCGAAATTTGTAGTCTTGTCTTGAAGTTTAATCTTCCAAAACTCAGGCCAAGGCAGCCTCTTTACTTCATGTGTGGAAAATTTGTCTGTCAGTTGAGCAGTGTAAATAAAGTTGGGGTAATTCATGGTTTTTCTCCTATATCTTACGCCTTTTACCTTAAACCTTCTCATGGTCCTTGCTTCGTAGTACAATACTGATGGTTCCTATTGTCTGTTTTATAACAAGTATGAGAGATAAGTCTGATAGTTTTTATTTTTTTAAAATTTTCTTTTCCTAGGCCAGTGTGCTGGCATCCAATTCTACTGCTGCTGCTACTCTTTCCCTGGCAAACTCGGATGTCTCCCTGCTAAACTATCAGTCCGCCCTGTACCCATCATCTGCAGCCCCAGTTGCAGGAGTGGCTCAGCAGAGTGTTTCCTTGCAGCCTGGAACCACCCAGATCTGCACACAGACTGACCCCTTCCAGCAGACCTTCATTGTTTGTCCCCCTGCTTTTCAAAGTAAGCACAAAACCCTTCGTGTGATCCCGTGATTTCAGTTGGAAATTAGAGAAGTTGTGATTTGCACTGAAGCGAGGAACTAAAGTACGAAATGGAGAAGAGCTCTCTGTGTGTGCCACACGGTGCTCTTGCATCAGTAAGTGCAGAATCAGGTCAGACATGTGCAGACAGCTTGATTCTCTTCCAGGTCATGCTTGAACAGGTGACAGTGTCTTACCTGCCTGGCTTGCAGCCTCCAGCTGGTTGCTCAACCAGTTTTTCCCCCCAAACTGAACACAGCAGCATTCCACAGAAAGCAGCAGCAGAGGAGCCAGACCTGCCTGAGAATCAGAAAGTGGCTTGCTGTGTTTTGTATCTCAAGAGCAAATATCTGGAGTTAGAGACTCAGTTCCCAAGCCCTGATGCAGCTGTTGGCTGTGGCAACAGGTTGTCACGGAATGCGAATCCGTGAGCTCACACAGGCTCTGTTCGTCCCTCCCTTCATCCTCACAGTTCTCTAGTTATGCTGATATACCTGGATTATCTTAGTCTGAAGGGTTATGTGTGAAATGGGAGCTGATAGTGTAAGGTTTGAACTTTGGAACTGGTCTCAAGCAACTCAGAATGAGGTGTCTGTGTTATCTGTGTTTCTGAAGACAAGAGTCCACAGAGCTGAGCTGGTGTCAACTGGTTGTCCATCACGGCCTTTCAGCAGAAGTATTTACTTCAGCTGGTGATTTATTAGTAGGCTTTTGTCACAGGGAACAGCTTTTCTGTCTCTTAATCCAGCCCTGTCTTCTGCCCTTACTGGTGGGAATTTGATTTAGGAAACAAAACAAGCAAAAGAAAGAATAATAAATCAGCTTAGTGGTGATGTGTCTTGTCCTCCACAGCCGGACTTCAGGCAACTACAAAGCATTCTGGGTTCCCAGTGAGGATGGAAAATGCTGTCCCAATTGTGCCACAAGCACCTGCAGCACAGCCACTGCAGATCCAGTCTGGAGTTCTCACACAGGTAAAAAAAACCACCCCAACCCCTCCTCCCCCCCAAAGAATTAACTGCAATTCCAACCTCCATCCAGGAGAACCTGCTTGCCCCTCTGTGCTGGGGGGTTGCTCAGGGGGTTCTCAGAGCTCTCTGAAAGGGTAAACGCAGATCACTTCTAAGACAGTGTTTTTCTTGGTTTTGTTCTGTTCTTCTGGGATATCGAAAGTCTAAACTGTTTCATGTCGTGTGCCTCCCTGGTTTTAGGAATTGGAATTAAGAATGGGAACAAATATGTAGTTTTCAGTAGCTAAAAACAGGCTGTATTTTTTTCAGGGGTATACACTCCTTTAAAGGGAGGGGGATGGTCGTGTTTACTTACATTTAAAAAATGTGGCAGGAGAAACCATTTCTGAGAGAAGTGAGATCTCGGTGAACAGAGGTGACAGCACAAATTATTCATGAGAAAATTTCATCTTTAAATCAAGTTTATTTCTGAATCCTTCTCAACTAGTTACATTCTTAGTGTGAATTAATGTGTAGCAATGACATACCTATTTCTGTAGTTTGCAGTTGTAACATGCAATAACAAAACTAATAATGCTAAAAATGCTTTTTTAAACATTAGTAATGTGTCATAAATTAAAACCCAGTTTTATTTCCAAAAAGTAATGCTTTAATATACAAGTGAGTCAAGTTTTATTCACTGAAAAATTGTAATTGCCTTTATGATTAAGTGCATTTTTATTTATTTGCATAGTTTTAGTTTCTGCTGGCATTAACACATACTCTGTTAGTTTTACTCTCCAGGCAGTTTATTGAACTTACTGACCTTCTTGCAGAGGAGCAATTTTTAGATTGTTCAGTCCAAGTAATTTTGGTGGCATTCTGTGGTCTCTGGTTTCTTTAGCATAATGATACAGGTAACAGTGTACAAAAAAGCAGAATCCACTTGAAGGCCCACCTGAATCCAAGCCCTGCTTTTCCTGGGACTTCAAATTATACACTCATAGTTGAGTTTTAATCAGTCATTTGATGGACTAATACGTGTCCGGGTGGTTTCATCGCAGATAACTTTGTTCTTTGATGACACAAAAGACCTGCTGTGCCTTCTGTTAAATCCCTTAGTTTACGTTTTCCCAAGGGTTCTGTGTGTGGATTTGGAGGTAGGTTGGAGCCAAGGGTGCAGCCCGTGCCGTGGTTAGCGCAGCGTGAGGGTGCCACTTGCTCTCCGGGACCCAGTAAAGTGTCAGTAGCTCGACCCTGTCTCGTTTTTTAACTGTGTCATCAGAGAGATCCTGTTCCCAACTCCCCTGTCCCTCATGTTCCCCTCAGGGACACGGAGGTGCTTAGAGGAGGCTCTGGGTGTTGGTCTCGGTGCATCCCCTTCCAACCCGGCGACGCCTCTGCCGGCCCTATTGCTGACCCCACTGCCCTGCCTCGGTTCGTGTGTTTCACTCACTGCCTGATCTACATTTCAGGGGAGCTGTACACCACTAATGGTAGCAACTCTTCATCCTCAAGTAGCCACCATCACGCCGCAGTATGCGGTGCCCTTTACCCTGAACTGCGCAGCCGGCCGGCCGGCGCTGGTCGAACAGACGGCTGCAGTACTGGTAATTGCCTCCCTTGATTGTGTTCACTAACTGAGTTTTTTGTTTTAACTTAGACTTGCAGAGGGCATGGAAGCATGTGCCATCTTGTGGCTGTGTTCTTGCTACATCTTAATGTCTCGTTGTTTTCCTCCCCAACATTGCTGAAGCACTGTCTGACTCTGACGTTTAGTGTGGCTCTGTAAAGAATCCAGATCCATTGACTATGACTTTTACTAGCCTAGTATTTAAAGCTCTTCTAAGCTACAATCTAGAAGAGTTATAATCATTCTTGTTCTTCGCTTACTCTCCTATCTTTGCCTTTTGATTGTGGAATACAAAGGAATCAGTCTTTAGCTTGACTCTGCTACAGGTACCTGGATGGCCAGAATTTGACCTACTTGGCAAGTTAGCTCCATATTTTGTTTTCAACACGTTTAAAGCTGCTTTGCATGGAGAAATGTTTCAGATCATTAAGCACAGGCTAAAATCTCTAATGACAGCAAATCCTTTAATGTATTGCTTTAGCAGTTGATTTCTCTTAACCTCTCTTGAACATTGACAATAATTTTCTGGCCTTTTGTTATTTATAGCCAATCGCACGTAGCTTGCTTCATCCAGATAAAGATTCTGTTCTTCACAGATACTTTCAGTTGATATGTTATTTCTTGGTTGAAATTAAAGGTGAGCTCTAGTATCCAAAATGGCAATAGCTAGCTTTTAGGTTATTTGGACCAACTTCTAAAAAAGGATGGGGGAAGGGAACGAACACACCTTTAAGAAATGTACGTTGGCAAAATTGCCCTCTTCTGTAATTTATTTGGCACCTGCATCAGAACAACTTTGCAAGTGCCACAAAGAAGTCATTGTAAAACTCCAGAATCAGATCAGTGAAGCTTATGAAAACATTGCAGTGCACTGAAGTGCTGGTATCCTCACATGTCGTTCAAAGCACATTCCATTGTGTGAACCATGTTGTTTCTCGTGGCTTTGAAGTGGTAGTCTGAGTGTCATTTTCTTCCAAGAGGGAGGCCTTTGCTGAAGTGCAATTTGCTCAAGTCATACCTGTCCTGAAATTCAGAGCCTCTCATTTGAGTTCTCCTGAACCAAGTGAGCTGCTCCCTGGTTCTGAGGATGGGAAGGCAGGAGAGTAGGGCTCTCCTGGTCACAGCTCTGAGCTAAACAGACCCAGGGATGCTCCTCCTTTCCTCCTCTCGAATTTTGATTGCCGGAAGGCTGCGATCTAAGCTCCAAAAACAGCAAGGGGTGACTGTAGCAGAGCTTGGGACACAAGTGAGTTGTTAGTGATGCTTTCCAAAGTGTCTTTGGGCTTTTGATTCAACAGCCAAATTCCTTTCTCCCGTGTGTGTGCAGTGGACTTGACGTCCAACTCCCCTGTACAGCCGTGGAGATCCGAGCCAGCTGTCTCCAGACTCTGAGCCTGGATTCTGAGCTTCTCTGGAGGACTTACTAGTTCTGTTTGGATTCTGGGAGCCTTTGGCGTGAATTTGCTCACCTTTAGTGCTTCCGACACTTCTCCCTTGCTGCTTCCCCCGAGTTTGCATTAGCCATTTGCTAAGCTTTGCATATTTTTGTCCTTCCTCTGTCAAAACAGTTCGTCGCTTGGAAGGCCCGATTTCTGCCTCTCATTGGGAATTTATATCTTGCTGTATTAAACTCTCTGCTTTGTCTTGTGCAGGTGTTGGCTTTTGGAAAGACGCATGGTGTGACTTTTAACATATTTCTCTTTTTATTTTTTATTTTTTTTTCTTTTTAAATTTTTTTTTTCAATGTCGTTATGATTATTCCGCTTATGTTGGCAGAGGTTTTAGCAGCTCTCTGCTTTGAAGGCTTCTTGTTCGGAACTGGTATTTGTACTAAGTGGATCTGTTACTTGCAGAAATATTTTACAGAAAGCAGTAAGTTTTGCAGATTAAACTGCAAGAGAGGGAGAGCCATATGTTTTTAAGATCATAGAAATATTGTCCTGTCAAATTTATTCGGATAGGAACGGTGATAACGTTAATTAATTGGACCTGTCTTCATGTATCTCCCTCAGTGTGGCTTTTCTTAAACACTTCATCTGAGGTGGGTGGATTTCCACAGTAATAACACCATCTCAGCTCTCTCAATGTGAGCCCTGAAAAGCAGAAAGCACCAAATTGGCTTAATATTTCGGAATCCTTCAGCAGAACAGGGCGTGTAAATTTACCTACAGAAACTGTTCTGAGCACTCAGGCTGCACCTGGCAGTGCAGTGTGGCTGCATCTGCAGAACAACGTTAAACTCCTTTCCCCAGGTGACAGCAGTGACCTGAAAGATTAGCAAAGTCTCAGGGGAAGCTCATTCCTCTGGATTTCTCGCCCTCCCGTGCTGCACCTCTGCAAGTTAACAATCCACCCCAGTGCATCTATTGCTTGGACAGATCTCTCTCCCTGCACCTGTAGGAACTGAAGTCTAGTGAGCCTCGTGTGTGTGTGTGTTTGCTGTCTTGCAGCAGGCCTGGCCGGGGGGAACCCAGCAGATCCTGCTCCCTTCCACCTGGCAGCAGCTGCCGGGGGTGGCTCTGCACAACTCTGTCCAACCAGCAGCCGTCATCCCAGAGACCATCGGCAGCAGCCAGCAGTTGGCTGACTGGAGGTAGGGATTGCACGGGCTCCAGCTCTGTGCCAGATGGAAATACATGCCATCACAGTGCCCAGAATGTCCCCCTTCCCCTCAGAATCACGCAGGAGCTCAGTTCCTGCAGGGTAGTCATGGGATTTGGGTCTCTTATTTTTTTTTTTTTTTTTCCTGCTCCAGGAATGCACATTCCCATGGAAATCAGTACAGCACTCTCATGCAACAGCCATCTCTGCTGACCAACCACGTGACATTGGCTACAGCACAGCCTCTGAACGTTGGAGTGGCTCATGTTGTGAGGCAGCAGCAGAGCAGCAATGTGCCAGCAAAGAAGAACAAGCAGCCAGCACCAAGCACAGCCAAGTAAGAATCCCGTGGCTGCCTTTCCCAGTCCTAGAAAAAAACATGGGTTTGTTTGTGGAGGTTTGCCTTTATGGTGTGAAAAACATGTTTTCTGATCACAGAGGCACTGAATGTGTAACTTTATCGTGTAAAGAGGTCTTGGAAAAAGCCTCTGTGCTGTAGTCACTGATGTAAATGATACTAATTTCAGTGAGTGCAAGGACATGGTCGACCAGGTGCTTCACTGTCCTGGTCAGAGGGGTTTTACACGTTCAGGGTGTGTTGGTGCCGTAGCAATGCAAGGGACAGAATTGTCAAAGAGAGGGGTGGCAGGTTTCTGGCAGTGCTCAGGTGGATCAGTCCCATTCAGGGCACCCCTGAGTGCCTTGATAGCTTCTGGGATGTGTCTGTGGTGCTCTGCACTGAGCTTCTCTTTGTGTCTGTCAAGATGCTGCTGCTCATATGTGTGAGCTCCAGCCTGCTGGAGCCTGGCTCTTCCTAGTGCTGTTTGCCCCAGCCTGCTGCTGACACACAACTGAATCCTGCTCTGCTTTTCCTCCAGGCCCAGCTCAACCCTGGAGACCGTGCCCACCCAAGTGTACTCTCTCATTGGGAGCAGCCCCCTGCGCTCCACCTCCTCCTCTTCCAACGTGCTCGTCCCGGTGCAGGAGCAGCACCAGCCCATTGTGATCCCGGACACTCCCAGCCCCCCTGTCAGCGTCATCACCATTCGCAGCGACACTGACGAGGAGGAGGACAGCAAATACAAACCTGCCAGGTAAGGAAGATTGTTTGGGCAGCTGGGACTGATCTGTGCTGGGCTCAGCCCGAGCGTCAGGGCGAGTGGGGAACACGTGGGTGAAGCTCTGGCCAGGCTAAGAAGAGCTGCATAAGACATAAAATCCTGCTGTGCTCTTTTGTCTCTAGTTAATCTGAATTTTGTCCAACGAGGAGGGGAGGGTATGAGATCCCAGAGGGAGAGCTCCTGTTTTCTGGTGGGAAAAGCCGGAATGTTCTCCATTTTGTGTTCTGTCTTTTTTTTTTTCCCCTGCAGTTTGGGCATGAAGCAGAGATCCAATGTCATCAGCTACGTCACTGTTAACGACTCCCCCGATTCTGACTCCTCCCTGAGCAGCCCCTATGCCACAGACCCCCTGTCCTCGCTCAGGAGCACCGGAGGGGCCCTGGAGCTGCCGAGCAGGGCCGCTCCCGACAGCTCCAGCTCCCGGACCATCATCGTGCCACCCCTCAAAACACAGCTCAACGACTGCATTGTAGCCACCCAGGCTTCAGGTGGGTATCTCAGAGCTCACTGTGCCCAGGAGCTTTGCCAGGTGTGTCCCATCCCTGGCACATCCATTCCCACAGATCTGGACTTTCGGGGTCTTCGGCAGCTTTAGGTTTCACGGCTGCTGTTCTGAAAGCCTTAGACTGTTTCAAATGTCACTGACAGATTTACCTTTCATTGACGTTCAGCTGCTTTTTCGAAAGATCCCTAAACATTCCTGATGGTTTCTTAACTGCATTTTAAGTCGTAATTAAAGAAAAGTCACTGTGACAGAAATAGCCCCTGGGCGTTCTTTGATTCCCAGAGCCAGTTGGTTACCACAGTGCCTGGGAGAGGGAGGAACGGACTAAGCTTGTGAAATCTTTCAGGCATCCTGAGCAGCACCAGTAAGACCAAGCCAGTGGCCTCGGTGAGCGGGCAGTCATCAGGATGCTGCATAACCCCCACCGGGTACCGCTCCCACCGCGTGGTGACCAGCGGCGTGCAGCCCCTCAACCTCAGCCAGGTGAGCACTGCCCGGCCCTGCTGACCCCCCGGGGGGTGCTTTAGGATTGCTGTGGAAACACGGTGCCGTAAGGGAGGGGCACTGACTGCAGGATCGAGAGCTGTGACCTCTAATTCGAACGGATTCTGCGCTGGGGCGATGCAGGGCAGGACAGACTCTGCGGGGAGCACAGGGGAAGGTTCTGGAGGCAAAGAATTTGCCCCTGTGCCAGAGGGCAGGAGAAGGAAGTGTGGTTATGTCCATACTCTTTCTTTGTGCTCGTGGTCATACCTGTCTTGAAGCAGGTCATTCTTGCCACTCAGGTGGGAGGGTGACGAAGATCCAGCTGTTGAATTAGAGTAGCTTTGAAGGCACAGTACAAGGAGATACTTTTGTTTCTTACCTTTTTTCTCCAGATCTCACAGAGGCCCAACCAGGAGATTAAGGCTGGACTTTGTTTTCTCAAACTAAAAATTAGCTCCTGGCTTTCCTTAAAACTTTCAGAGCTTGGTTTCACTTCAGTTTTTGTCACAACTCTTGATCTTTGAGTCACACCACAGTAGCTTTTGGGAAGAGAGGGAGTGTTAAACCTCCAGTTCATTTCTGGCATGGGCACAAGACGGGTTTTTGTCCTTAAATGTGTTAGCCCTGCTGCCACCCTCACTGGGGTGCAGAGGAGCAAACTGTGAGGAGTTCTAGGGCTGGGTCAGTCCTAGGACCTGCCTGCACTTGTCCAGCTGTGTCCTGTGGCACCTCAGGTGTGGCAGTTTGATCCCATTGTAGGGAAGAAGTGCAACCTTTGTCTCAGTGGAACCGCAGTCAGCCTTCTCAAATCCCTGGGAAGGTTCCACATGGGAGGATCTGCAGGAGTGTTGTAGAACAGAGGTGTTAATGAGGAGGCTCTGGCTGACCCTTGCTCACCTCCTGAGCTGAGGAGGGATCCCCTGAGCGGGGTAAGCACTGACCTTATTTCCTTCTTCTCCCTGCAGAACCAGCAGACCACAGTGCTGGCCTCACAGGAGAGAAGTGGAAACGCTGTCCCACGTAGGCAGCAAGCTTATGTGGCCCCCCTCACGTCGACTATTTCTCAGGCTCCCTACACCTTCCAGCACAGCAGCCCAGTGCATCCCCACCTGGCAGCAGCCACGGCCAGTGCCCACCTGTCCAGCCAGCCCCACATGTACACTTACGCTCCCACCACGGCTGCCACGCTGGGCTCCACCACCTCCATCGCCCACCTCTTCTCCCCTCAGGGCTCCTCCCGGCACACCACGTACGCTGCCCACCCCAGCACCCTCGTCCACCAGGTCCCCGTGAGCGTTGGGCCCAGTCTGCTGACTTCAAACGTCCCGCCCGCCCAGTACCAACACCAGTTTGCTCCCCAGTCCTATATTGGTGCTTCCAGAGGATCTGCTATTTACACTGGATACCCGCTGAGCCCGACCAAGATCAACCAGTACTCCTACTTGTAGTTCCCAGTAAAGCACTGTCCTGCAATAGAGAGAGAGAGTGGAGAAGGATTTCAGGTGAACCTTTTCCCTGGGAATGACTGCCTGGCTCGTGTTTCTCCCTGATCTGGGTGTATGTTGTTCCAAAGTGTCTCTGGTGAGTTTGGTCGCTAACTGAGCAGCATGCTTTGTTACCAGTACGAGGGTCACTAATTAAGTTTTTAAAATTTTACTTACTTTTTATAGATGCTTTTAAAAAAAAAAAAAAATTCATGGTCACGTTTATTTAAAATTGTTCTGTTGTGCTAATCAAAAGGGGTGTCAAATCAGTGTCTTGGAAGACAGATCCTGATGTCTTTTTTTAACTTGTGTAACTTAAAAAAGATTTGCAGATTCTGTTTTAGCAGCTTGCACAAATCCATGTTGCCACTAAAAATGTAATGCATGTTTATCTCATTATGTTGCTGGGGCAGTTTTAAAATCAGATTTAGCATTTTAACATTTGTTCTCTAATTCACTTTGTCTCTAACAAATTGCTGGTTCTGCAAAAGCCATTACATCTCCATATGTGTTTCTGTCAAAGGTTTTTTTGTTTACTGCTCTGCTTTGTTTAAGGACTGGTAGAGGCAGCTGCCTTATAGCAGCAACGTGATATATTCAGGAGTCCTGCAAACCCTGGAGTCTGCTTTGTTTTCTTGAAAGTTTTCCATAACCAAGCTGAATTTTCTGTTGTGCTCATTGCAGAATTCTTTTAAGTTCTTCAAAGTGTCTTCAGGATCTATCTCACTGTGTGACAGAGCTCAGCAGCTCTTGTCAGGATGCTGTTGTCTTCAGTTGAGAGTGAATAGTGCAGCATTGCTCTAAAATTTGGTTTCTGCAGCTGATTAGATGCTGGCCCTATAACGGAGCTGGATTCCTTCACAGAAGCACAGGGCTTTGCTTGGTTCTGTTTTTCCTCACTAATTTTTTTCCTCACGTGATTCATTTAGGAGGGAGATGAATTTGAAATACAATGAAACATCACTGTATTGATGTGTACAGCTTTTTATACTCCTGTGAGCGTATCCTCCTGGATATGTCAACAGCTACTTTAAAGCGCTCTTAATAAGACTTGTAAACAGTACGTGCATGTAGGAATTGCAACACAAAAAAAAAAAAAAAAAAAAAAAAAAAAAAAAAAAAAAAAAAAAAAAAAAAAAAAAAAAAAAAAAAAAAAAAAAAAAAAAAAAAAAAAAAAAAAAAAAAAAAAAAAAAAAAAAAAAAAAAAAAAAAAAAAAAAAAAAGAAAAAAAAAAAAGAAAAAAAAAAAAAAGGAAAAAAAAAAAGTCCAGATTTTAAAGTTTATTACTGAATTTAAAACTATTTTAGAAGTTTTGTATTGGTGGTGTTTTAATATTTTACAGAAAATGAAATATGTACATATTGATTAGAAAAAATATAACAAGCAAAACTTCCTGCTAACCCCAAATGTTCTGTCTTTGTAATCAAAATGTGTAGTGATTATACTTGAACTCTGTACTTAGTGTTTGTCTAATTCTTAAACGTTCCTGGGGATGGAAGTGTCGTATCCTTTGTATTTAAACCAAAATGAATTGATTCATGTTGGAATGTATGTGATATAATGCAATGGTTAGAGCTCATCACTGTAGCACTGAGAGAGGAGTTAGAGCATCACGAGAGGAAAGGATACCTTCGGATTTGTTTTGCACAGGTATGTGTGATGAAGAGTTGTTTGGTGTGTCCCCTTATTGTAGTGCCTTAAATGATGATGTAGTGTGACTAGAGTTTACAGTGAGCTTTGCCTTATGAGGGACCAGCAAGCCCCCCCCGTCGAATTGAAGCAATTCACCCAGCTTTCCACAGCCAGAGCAGCAGGAGGTGCAGAGCTGCGTCTTTATCCCTTCCAACGCTCCATCAAAGCTCCGTTTTTGTTTCCCAGTGAAGCGACGTCCCCTTTGAAGCTTTTCCCCCTTTGAAAATGGCACATGTACTGTTAAGTGTCTGTCAGTGCATTTCGGATAAAGGTAGTGCTGGGAATGCATTGGAATGTTTAGTCTAATATTGCAGAAGTGATTAAATATGTGCAATCACTTTTATTAGGTTTAGTGTGGCGTTACCTTCCCCCACAGGAATAGCAGACGTGTCGTGTAAAATATTGCTAGCTTGGTGATAGAATATTTATACCAAAGAGAGCCTGCTGTAAAGCACATAATACCATTAAAAAAAAAAAAGTTTTATAATGCTACTGCTAACGTGGAGTTGTTGGGAAGGTCTGTCAGCTGTAGCCCTAGTTAGTGTTCAGAGGAAATACTCATTCTGGATAATCAGTGCAGTTTTTGGACTACACTTTGTTTTCTTGGGTCCCTTGTACTAGGAATTATTTCTCATCTAATACGTAGGTGAAGTATCTTGTCCAAATGGATGATAAACTGGTTCGAGCAGTCGTGTTACTGCAGCAATAAGAGGTTTGGTAACCTTGAATCCCAGTTTATGTTCCGTCCCAGTGGGAAGGAGGCCAGTTCTGAGCGGGGCGTGGCGAGAAATGCGAAAGTCATTTCTGAAATCCCCACGTTCCTGGTAGAAGAAGGTCTGGACTGACCTGAAATGGATGAACTGATGGAGGTTTTGGCATCTCTTTGCTGGAGGGGTCAAGGACTTTGGAACTGGACGGTAGCATTAGCCACGTTGTTGTTCAGTGTGTTTGTAGTCAGAGCACTTCTGTAAGTGGATAACCAACCTTGCTATGCCACATCGTTGCTGGAAACGATGCTGTTTGTTGCTGTAGGCACTTTCTTGCTTTTTTTGACATTGCTTGTGTTCAGTACTTGCCTTGAGATACCTCTTGGGTGTACAGAGTTGTGCCTTTCCACCGAAAGGCAAACCAAGCTCCAACTCCCTGTTTCGCAAATAGGACTTCGTGGAAAACACTTTACTAACAGGAAAAAAAAGAAAAAAAGGACCTCTAGCAAAATCTGCTAATAGTTCTGAGAACTTGCCCACTTTACCCCCCCAAAAAGCAGCTTCAAATAACCATTTAGAGTCTCTGTAACATAATTAATCCCAATCAGATGTATTCCCAAAGCACGGTGTCATCTCTTCCCCTGCCCGAGTTCCCAAAAGAGTTGGGACGAGGAGGATGAGATGGAAATGCCATAGGTAAAATCAAAACGTGCTGGAATTTGGAACAAACTGTTAATTATAGCCCAAAATTCCTCAGTGATAACACAGCAACCCCCACCCCAGCAGGGCCAGGGGGACAGCTGGGCTTCACGAGCGTGATGGGTCCCAGTCTGGCCCCACCTGATTCCCAGTCACTGGGCACGTGATGCCCAATCTGGGTGTGTTGTGCCCTAAGGACACACATCCCTTCTTCCCTCTTGCATATCCAGCCTCAAATTGGGTTCGAGAATTGACTCTCCTCATTGTCAGAGCCACTACACATGTTTTGTAGAGAAATCTGCTATCTCTGGATAGGAATTGGAGTACTTTAATTTTTTATTTTCACAACTAGCTTGGGACTCACCTTTGGAATATTTGATGACCGTGGTCCCATCTAGGTTTGTCTGTGTGATTCTTGAGCTGTTCAATCAGTTTTTCTCTTACCTGACCTGTATTTGCAGCTGTGATTGCCACTGCAGAGGCGACTCCCAAGGCTTTCCTGCTTAGCACCTAGTTGATGGGATGCAGTAATTTACCTCTGACTCAGCAATTTCTTTTAGTACATGAAACTAAATTGCTTCTAAATGACAGGATTGGCACAGCCCTGCTTTCTTTTTTTTGTTTTTATTTAAACTTCTGAATGGTGCCGCATGTCCACATGGTTGTTTGTTGCTAAACTTTATATAATGTGTGATTTCAGATTCAGCTTGAACTATATCTATCTCACTACATGTAGCAGTACATTATATGTAATGTTAGTATTTCTGCTTGAATCCTTGATATTGCAATGGAATTCCTACTTTATTAAATGTATTTGATATGCTA